TAACTAATCCAAAAGGAAAACAGCCATTCCTTATCCAGCCATAATGGAGATGCAAGATGGCATGTAAATCAGTAACTCTCGTATTGCAAAACAGACAAATAGATTAATGCATATTGCAAGAATGGGTGAGGCGATCGATCAGGTTACGGATTCAGACCATGAACTTTCTCTCAATATACTGCATTTAACTTTTAAATAAGGTTTAGGAGAACCTGTAACACTTTGCTCACTGACAGAGCTATATTTTAGGGAGGGCAGAAATTGGCTAGTCTATAAAAATTAAATTATGCCCCTTTCACTGTATCTAGTCAAGAGGAAAAACTCTAATTACAAGATTGCACTGTCAAACAAATGCAAATTTGTATTCTTTATATCCTGGTTTAAAAATTCATACTGGAAGGTTGGGGGGAGGCTCCTCTTCTGAAATGAAAATCAATATTTGAAATATTTTTATGGAATGCAATGATAAATAAGCAAAATAAATGTGATTCTCAAGGACGCTGCTTTGAAACCCCAGCCCATGAAGAGCGGAGCTGGTAGGGCAGTCATTAGTCATGCAAACATTTAACCATCAATTAGGAAGGGCAAGGAACCTTTTCTTCCCCACAGCCCACACTTCATTATTCCAGAAATGACCAAGGCGAAAAGAGCATCAAGAGATAACCTCAGATCCAAATAGAAGCATCTCAAATGCCTTTGGCCATTTGGCAGAAGGAAGCACTTGTCAAGAGTAACAACAAGCTGGTAGACAAGGATGGGGCATATACTTTGTAAAGATCTTCCTTTGTTTCTTTATAACATAGAAAGGGTAGTTCAAATCAGTAGCTCAATGTGAGGCACACCAGAGACTCTCCAAGAGCTTAGAAATGACCTATGGCCACACAGACCACAGACACACAGAATGAGCATCCTCAAGGGGAAGGGACAGTCAAGTAAAGTTCAATGGAACCCCAGGAAGACACCTACATTACATTCTCTTAGGTTTGAATCCCTGGGCCTTTTCAGCTCTGATGCACCAAGAATCTCAGCTCAGTCTACGACCCAAACAAATTTGGACTTTGATTCCTAATGGGACCACTAATCAGGCACCGCTCGCTTTCTGGGGCTTGAAGTTGACAAAGCAATAGAATCATAGGCCAGCTGGTTGAAGTATAGGAAATCAGTCACAAAGAGATCTCACAAAGTGAAGAGTCTCACATTTCACAAGACACCACAAGCTAGTACTCAGGGATGAGCCAGATACACAGTTCATACAATGAAAGTTAGCTCATGCCGCCACGGTTTTATTATATTGTGGTCACTTAGCAACCAAAGTTGCTCTCAATCCTTGTTGGCAAAAGAAAAAGAGAAAAAAAAATCGAACTGACTGGTCTATAACTATTACATGAAATTTAATATGGAATGCCTTCAAGATATCAAGACATTGCTTTCTATTGAGGAAAAAAAAGTAAATAAAAAGTAAACATGCATCACCACCATAAACAGTAACCACATTTGCCAGGCTTCCAAGGAATTTCTGCTCAGAGTGTCTTGCATTTATTTATACCTAATATGCACCCCTGTGATAGTTAGTGTCAACTTTATAGAGTCTAGAATCATCCAGCAGACAGGGCCTCTGGGCAGGCTGTGGGGAGTTACCTTTGTGTTACATGGGTAGACTCACGGTAGTCATGAGCATCCCTGACTGTGTCCCCTGACAGTCCCTGGGCTGTAATAACAGAGGACACAGTGAACACTAGAGCATGCATTACTCTGTTCCTGAGTGTGTGTGATATGACCAGTTTCCTCGGACTCCTGCTGCTGTGACTATGGCAGACTGGACGGTGCCTTGAATTGAGAGCTAAATACAAACTCCACCTTAAGTTACTTTTGTCAGACTATTCTGTTACAGCAACAGGAAACAAACGAGCAAAAGCTAAGATCTCTCCATTACTGGTTTTCCTGTTGGGTTCATTATTGTTTCTGTGTCTTTACTTAAGCTAGGAACACTTGGGATGCTGGAGATAAGTGAGTAAGAGTGCTTGCTTCACAAACATGAAGACCTGAGTTCGGATCCTACCACCCATATTAAAAAAAAAAAAAAATCAAAAAAGCTAGGTGTGGCCATGTATGCCGAGAACCCCAAGGCTTTGGGGGAATGGGACCAGAGAACTGCTGAGGCTTTCTGATGGCCAGGATAGCTCCCCAATCCAGTGAGAACCCTTGTCTTGAGTGGAAAAGTGGAGTGCGATAGAGCTGGATGTCTTCCTTCTGTTCCTGCATGAGTGTGTGTGGGACACACGAATATAGAACACACACATACATATGCCACACACACTCTCAGAAACACACACACACACACACACACACACACACACACACACACACACACACTGCTTTGAGCTTCATTTTTTTTTTTCTTCACATTTAGACCTGAGGCTTATGTCCTGCACCCTGTGGCCACTGACACCTTGTTTGGAGACAAGAAGCAACTTGACTTTGTCACTAGAAAACAAGCAACCTAAACCAGGGACATCCTTCAGGACAGACTGCAAGCTTTCTGTGGGTTATACAGAAGTTATAGGGTGCATTCTGCTTTTCTATAGTATGGTTTGCAGAAGAGGGTGAGGCAAGATGAACATGGGCACTTGGATGGGAGTGTGTGACTGTCATCTCAGAGACAAGGGGTGTTTCTCTGAATTACCCTTCTGAAAGCACTTCTAAGTGACAGCTCCTTTTTTCTGTCACATCCCAGTTTGTGAAACACAAGCCCTGGTAAGCAGTAGCCTCGAGGATCCTGAGGAAGTTCTTAACATATGATGATACCTTTCATCATGTCTGCTTCAAACGTATTTCATGGTAGAGGGCTGCAGACATTAGACGTGCAAGAAACATCTGGCTCAGGTAAAACAGGGCAAAGAAAATCATTCATAAAATTTCACAGCAGAGGCAGGCGGGTTCCTGTGAGTTCAAGGCCAGCCAGGTCTACAGAGCTAGTTCCAGGACAGGTTCCAAAATAATACAGAGGAACCCTGTCTCAAAAATTTAAAAAAAAAAAAAAATAATAAATAAAATTCACGTCAATCTTAGAAGCTGCAGATTCATCATTAATTCCTTGTGTTGTTCTACTGTTTTTAAGAACAGGAATACCAGATGCTAAAATAATGCTTGTTTTTTGTAGGGCAGAAGATGCATTATTCTTGAAAGCGGTTGGTTGTATCTTAGACTTCCTACAAGAGCAATTTTAGTACAAAGGGCCCACACTCAAGCCAATAATGCACTACAAAGAACAGCCTATGAAGCCATACACAAAGGGTTTCTGGAGATAGCTCAGTAGAGACTAGAGTTCAGATCCCAAGCACACATGTTTATGTCATCAGGGCAACTGAGATGCCTGCTTGTAACCCCAGCTCTTGGTGTCAGAGATCTGGGAATCTTTGGAACAAGTGGTCTTGTTAGAATTAGTGAACTCTGGGTTCAAGTAAAAGACTCTGCTGCCTCCATATATAAGATGGAGCAAAGGAAGACAAGGATAACAAGCTCTTGTCTCCACACATGCAGATATGTATCTACACAGGTGTGAATACCACATACATATAACATGCCAAAAAAGTGTGTAGGTAATTACGTATTCTCCTGTGCCAACAAATGTGAATATGCATGCACATGGACATGATTACCACACAAATACACATGCAAAAACATCACACACACACACACACACACACACACACACACACACACACACACATCTCCACATCATAGACCAGTGTTACAGAGAACTGGCAGATATGCTCCCAAACAACCAAGACGTTAGCAAGATGCCTTCAAATTCTAACCCTGAGGAAACTGCCTTGCCAAGAGCAGTCTTCATTGCTAGCTTCGCTGTGCTGTTTTCCCAGAGACTTAGGTGAATTGATTGTTCTAATCACCCAAGGAGGTCTGTGGGCACCTTGTTGGACTAAAAAATGAACAAGGCTCACTCAATGTGATTCATCCCAGCATGGCACTTCCCTTCTTTTCAGCAGCCTTTAAACAGTGAAGTTTTAACTTGACCTTGGAATCAAAGCAATAGCTTTATTTATTTATTTATTTATTTCCCCCCCCAAGCTTTGGTTCCATTTTGGGGTGAGGTTTTAATTCTAACTCTAGGGGAGGTGGGATTCTACCTATCAAAAGACTTATTAGCTAGAGTGAAGTCTGTTCCATCTAACTCTCTTCCTCAGTAGCACAATATCCAGGAGTTTGGCTAGGCTGCTAGGGAGGCAGTTGCAGGGTCTGTGTGTGTGTGTGTGTGTGTGTGTGTGTGTGTGTGTGAGAGAGAGAGAGAGAGAGAGAGAAAGAGAGAGAGAGAGAGAGAGAGAGAAAGAGAATCCATCCTGTGAAAGATCTTGGCAATCTGTGCCTGGAATTTGATGCATTAGTTCTAAAATTAAATAAAGATCCTATAGTGTTCTCCAAAGAAATATGGTGTGGCACTATGACAAAACACATTTTTCAAGTTCTGACCTCTGGGAACTTCAAGTAGCTTCATATTTCAGTCTGACATCGTTCACAGGCTACTGTCTGGCTGCTCCAGCTGGGACCAGTTATCCATATATATATATATATATTCACCACCCTAACCAGCTCTTCAGTCCAGGAAGGTGAAAGGAGTAAGGGTGGTGGTGGGGGGGGGGAAGGGAGTGTAAAAGAAGAAGAAGAAGAAGAAGAAGAAGAAGAAGAAGAAGAAGAAGAAGAAGAAGAAGAAGAAGAAGAAAGGAAGGTGATTTACAATGACTTCCCCTCCACTCAGGTGTGCCTTGGGGAGAAGCCCTGGTAATTAACTCTAATGAGGTTAAAGTAACTTCCAACACTTCGCTTTCCTGTATAAAGTAAATCTGTACTAACCAGTATCGTGTGTGTGTGCGCGTGTGTGTGTAAGCACGAGCGCATGCTTCATACAAGCATGTATGTTCAATCAGTCAGTGTCTTTTCTGTCCAGCGCTAGACCGCGTTCGGAGTGGGATGGCCCAGCTTACCCGCACTTTGCTCCAACACTTCTTTCTGACACATGTCTTGAACGTTCACGGTGCAATTTACGATGAACTCAGGGGAGGAACAGTCGTTGTTGAGCTGGAATTCTTCACACTGGTAGCACTGGATTTGCAGCGCTAGCCCTGCGGGACAGATGAGATGGGGTTCAGAGGCTCTAGTTAAGATCTGGCTTGCATAGAGCACACCCTGGCTGGCGAGTGTCGCCATGGACAGTCCCACACAACAGGAGCTTTTGGTTCTTCAGTAGGGCTGGCAGTGCCTGAAGCCGGCAGGGGGCGGCGGCAACGATTCCCAGGGTCTAGAAGGATAAAGCCCTGCCAGAGACCCTAAATTCCTCCTCTACACACAAACAGCTCCGGGAACAACCCCTCAGGCCTTTCTGCAAGTCGTTGCTAAGTCAGGGGTGAGAGTTTAAACCTTAGATCAAAGTAGCTGGGTACAAGTTTCATCTCCTGTCTGAGTCTAATTGCTAATTGGCTACAAATTGGTTAATTACTATTTTGGCACCATTCATAATTGCATTCACTGGCGCCTTTCAGTTTTATTTATTTAATCTTGGAAGTCAGCATTCATACTCTGGGGCTCTGAGGCATCCTAGCGACCACCCTGCAACCTAGGAGGAGGCGATGAATGCCAAGTGTCTGAGAGCCTCAAGTCCTCCAGCTGGTTCAGCGTCCCTTCTTGTGATCAGTGAGGGAGGCAGCGGCTGAGGGTGGGAGAGGACGTGGTGTGTTGTATGTTTGTGCACGCCTTCCCCGGGACCGCTACGCTACAGCCCCTTTAGACCTGGCCTTTCTACAGCCCCCCCCCCTAAAAAAAATGGCTGTTGGGGGAAAAAAAAATCAAAAAACAAACTGATAGCTTAGAGTCCATGATCAGGGACTAGGTCCAGCCTTACCATATCTTCCCGGATGCTCTCCTCGGACGGGGGAGCTTCTCTTTGCACTCCAAGCCCAACGCTCACAGTGTGTCCCCCTTCCTAGAACCCCACGGATAGTGTGCTTAGCATAGATAAACTCAGCCTGGGAGAGCCCTCCCCTGCTCCCAGCCGCAGGTTGTCCGGTGTGTAGCTCACCTGTCCGCATTGGCTCTGCCTTGGGTGCCCACAAGCACTTGATAACTTGAGTAGGTTGGAGGCTTGTCGCCCCTTTCCCCCTCTCCCGGCCCAAACACAACCCCCCCCCACTCCCAGCTCTGCATCCCCGACCGTGTACCCCAAGCAGCTGCAGCCTAGAGTCGCGCCAATCTGCCGCTCTCCTGCAGCGCGGGACTTGGAGAGCGTTCCAGTCTGGCGCCTCTGGGTCTCAGTTTCCAGCACCAAACTCCCGCTGGGTAACCCCAGCGCAGCGCGGACCCCAGCTGGGCGCACTGGGGCTAGAGCAGGGACGCATGGCGAGATGGCATGAGCGTGTCAGGCTAGGCTGCTGGCCTCTTCATCTTCTTACCTGGAAGCCAGAACAATCCGCAAAAAGTTGCTGCTATGCCGAGAACCCACATCCTCCCGGATCGGCAGGGCCGGGAGAGGGCAGGAGCATCAGAGACTGCGACCGCAGCGGAGGCGACAGCAGCGGAGGCTGTCCGGGCCGCAGCGACTGTAGCTGCCGAGGCTTGCGCTGCCGTTGCCGCCCAGGCGACGGCTGCCACCGAGAGGAGCCGCAGGTGTCGCCCGCGGCGCCCGCATCGCCCGCGCCCGGGACTCCCAGAGGCTGGCCCCAGGCTCCTCGGGTTCGCGCTCTCTGGGGCGGAGCGCAGCGCCTCCGGAGGAGTTGGCTGCTGAGGCTTGAAGAACTACTGGCGATCCGGAGCACCCAAAAAAGTCTCGCCTCTTCTGCCCCCACCCCTTCCACTCCGGGTACCACGTGACGGCTGCTGAGTTGTGGTGGGGGTGGAGGGCGGGGAAGGCTGGGACTGTCTCTCTACTGTCCCCACCCCCTTCTGCCACCCTTTTAGCCTACCTCCTCTAGTTCCTTGGAAAAGAGCGCCTGCGGGCTTAGGGAGTAGTCATTTACCGAGGTTAGGGATGCAAAGGCGACTGGAACGCAGCAGGTGCCGCCTGGCCCGGACCTGTCCAGAGAGAACTCGGAGATCAATGCTGGGCTGGGCCTCGGCACACTGGGCTACCCTTCCCTTCTAGGTGTTCTGTTCCTTCCCAGTGCTAACTAGCACCCCTGCAATTGGTTCTCGCCCACCCTTCCCAGGGTCTTCTCTCCGCCACCCTCTGGGTGACTGTCTGGGATAGGGTGAAGGGGTATTTCCGTGCACCTGGAAAAGTTGCACGGTCGCGAGTTCCCTGGGGTGTCCGGTGCAGCCGCGCCTCTTCCTGGGAGAAATCCACAACACAGGTCACCCTGGTCTTCTGGAGGAATGTCTGCGAGTCCGATGGTGACCCTACCGCAGGTGGCTCCCTTGGCCAGACTATCCTCTCATCGCTGGAGGATGCATTGATTCTGCCCTGGTCGCCTAGCAAGAAAAAAGCCACCCTGGTGAATGGACACCGGGATCTGTGCTTTCTTTCACTGAAAAGCAAATGGGGCTGTCAGCTCTCCCAAGCCTCCAGCTGAGTATACACTCCTTCCAGCGCTCAGCACGCCAAGGACTTGGTCATCGGCTGCCTCCCCGCTCCACCATCCTCCTTTCTGACAATTCCAAACGACCCACCTTGCATATTCCCGGGACACCACGGTGCTATTTTTCCTTCCTGGTGGAGCTTTGCAGAAGGCTGTGCTGTGCAAAGAGCTGGCAACCGAAGCTCTTAATGCTCCCGCCCCCAACCCTGCGCGTTTCCACCCCCACCCCAGATTTGGGAGCCTCAGTGGAAACCAGTGGCTAAGCGTCACCTCTCTCCTGCAGTGCCTCCCGAGGGGAAGTACTCTCAGGCTAGGGTATGATCATTTATTTCCCCACCCTGCCAGCAGAGCAGGTCTGGAAGGGGCACAAATGACTTTCTTGTAATTCCTCTGCAGAGATCGGTCCATAGCTGCCTCGGGCTCATGCTCCCCCACCCTCTTCCTTTCATTTCTAGCTGGTTAACTCCTTGGAGAGAAAGGGATGCTTTGACCATCACTTGCTTGTCTGCAGTGTGGATCTTAACAATTGTTCGAATTACTATTACAGTAGCAAAGGGGCAGGCTTATTTATTCCTTCAGGGAAACCTATTCACAGAGCAAGCTCAGGACGCGATTGAAATGATCACGGGACCAATCACTCCTTGAATAAAGTTCTTTTCTGCTCTTGGAGGGTGTGATAGGGCTTTTATTCCGAAATGAAATGAAACAAAAGGAATTTTTAAAGTCTGAAAGACAAAGATGCTTTGCACAATTTGAAGTGAAGAAAATAAAATCCAAGTACAACAAATTGCACGAACAAAATAACACTGGTCATACAATATTCTATAAGGACACAAGTGTGCTAAGAAACCGCACAAATTCTAATCATAGTTCTACTCTGCCTGGGCTGCAGGCTTCTGTACAGAAGGAATTATAAATAGTTCACGTCTAGAAAAAATACACATAACCTTTAAAATAGAATTTATCCTCACATATAAACAGTCTTTAATAGAAAAAGGGATATTAAAAAGTAAGAAAGTTTCATAGCACCAACCATTCATTTAATTTTACAAAGTTAATATGGCAAATAGAGTACTCAGATTTTAATTTCTTTAAAAAAGCAGGGAGATAAAAAAAAAATCAACACACCCAGAATTGTAGAGAAATACAATGGAGAGGATGCAGGATGCTGGGAGTGAAGCCTGCTAAGATTTGCTCCCTTTTGCATCCAGCAATAGCACTACTGATTTCATCTCAACTTAAGTCTTCCTAGTGACAATTTGGATATCAGACCACCATTCAAATTTTCAATCAAAATGAGACTTTGAGAAACAGTAATGACCTCTGGCTTTTTTGCAGGCCCTACTTTTGGATTTAAACAGTGTACACACACATAATTTGAGGACTAGGGTGAAGAACATCACAAAATCCTTAGTTGGTGTTTTTGAAAAATATATTATCAACTTCTAAAACTTAATACATCATTTCAAGAGCGTGGCACCAACTCTATTTATTGCTATCTTTCTCTCCCTACAAATATAATTTCTCTTCCCCCCAAATTTACAGCTTTTGTACAAATGCTCAAAAAAAGTGCAAACATTGAGAATTCTCTGTCATTCTTTGCTTTTAATCCTCATGAAACACAGTAAGTAGCGGCGATCTTTATTAATCCACTAGGGGAGTAAACGCTGATGTGTTGGCTGCTGTCAGCTTCTCTGAGTTAGTGCCCGCTGCATCCCCAGCTCTGTGTCCATTTTCCTAGTGCACCATGCTCAGGTCTGGCTGAGGGGTGCTCCCCTAGGCATCATTGGAGCCTTGACTGGCACAAGAGGAGAAACTGTCATACAGAGAGTCACTCAGAGACTCTACGTTGTTGTCTCCGCCAGGCCTAGCTGAGTTACTTGATGACACATCTATCTTTTTGACTTTCTCTTCCTTTTGTCCTTTAACCTTGCTTGGAGACTTCTCTGCTTCTAATAAAATCACAGTATTGCTGTTAAATTTATTGAACGACTCCAGGGAAATTTCAGATAATCTATTCTCAGGGTCTTCTTTTGTTTCTTCAACTTGTTTCAGTTCCTGCAATAAAAAGGAGGAAAATATTAGAAACATAATTCTTTGGAAAAAATCAATTTATCCTATCTGATATTCAATTATTGTCTGAATAAAGTACAGTTTAAAGGGATAGAGGGAACCTACAAGTCCTTAACAATCTTTCAGCATAATTAAATGCAATAATAAAGCTAATTTTAGGGATAAATCAAGACTTTAATCATTTTACTGAGATAAATAGATCTCAATTTGCAAACCAGTTAAGTGCCACTTAATTCATTTTAAATGGATCCATTTGAAATTTGCTCAGGTAAGGTGTCGTATTTTTCTTTATCAAAAGTTCAAAGTTCTCTGTTTTCTTAATAAATATTCCTTGCACTTTTTCTAAAGGGATACAGATTAAGTTCCAGCCAGAAGTTATAGTCATTTTGGGGAAAAAAAGATCATAAAATCCCTTAAATTGCCATAAAATTTAAGTACATATTAAGCTTGTTAAGAATATTGTCATGTTTGAATTTTGTCCCTTTTAGGCACCTAAGATATTTGAAGGAGAGCTACGAGTCATTGACTGCAGATTCCAGAAGGGCTAGAGGCATAAAAACCAAGTAATGGGTGTACAGTTTAGTAACCCTTTCCTTCCAAAAGGATCCAGACATACCAATTTATTCTAGGGATTTATGGAATGTTCTTAATAGTCCCCAGGACTTTATAAAATACTGCCATTATACTAGGCAATTATTATAGCTACCCTGTAGGTTTGGGTATGTTTGGTTGCCCAGGTAGCTATTCAGGCTATGGCGAGGACAAAGAGAGGCAGGGACATCAGAGGTAAAGAGAAGAGTGAAGGTAGCTAAGTCACTAAGGCTCTCTGCAGCAGGAAGTCAAAAGCTTTTTCTATAGCTGTTTGGAAACATACAATATTGCTAATGAAACTCACTTTTCTAGGAACACAAGATCAGAAACGAGGCTCAGCCTGATGGTCACCTGGCTGAGCCTTCGGACAATCTCATGTCAGGTTGGTTGAGTGTGGGGCTTTTATTATTTCCTATGGTTGGACCTACTTGTTCCCTTATGTCAGAAAAGGACAAAAATATCATCACAATTGTTTTTCAATTTTGTTACTCAAATCTTCCATTTCAATGATCTGTCAAACCATTTTGAATACACGTGGTTCCATCTACCACCCAACCCCACGCCCCATACAATTATACTGGACTTTCAAATGCCTTGGGGAAATGGATGGAGGCAGACAGATATAGTCAAGACTCATAGACTCTTAAGTGCTAAGTATCCAACAGAAAGAAAAAGATATGGAAGCGGTTGCCTTTAGTGTTCCAAGAGCTGATGCCAGGGGGTTTTCTGTTAGAGAGTAGGGTCATTCCATGGGAAGATCTGGGCATCTGCCTTGAATTAGTGCTTATTTAATTACTTACTGTAGAACTGGTTTTCAGTCTTCAATGGTTGCCTGGAAACCATGGTGAGGGGCTGATCCACAGATCCCTAGCTGGACACAGACAATGATTCCATAATTGGGAAGAACTCGAGTGAGTGCTTTCTTGTGTCCTGCCAAGTTTTAAGCCTTTGATCCCTGCCCCCTGAACTACAGGGCACAATATTAACAATGGATGGCTTGGAGAGAGCAGATGTTTACCTCCATCATTAAATGTGAGTCTATATTTACATTCAGGTGAATGAAGATCCTTCAGTACAATTTCTCGCCACCTGGACATGTTTGTTGTATTTTTCTCACCTGTACATGGTCTGTGTGAATCCCAGGGTCATTCAACAAAAATCTTACCAGAAAAGCTATTCCAAGGCAGTTGGAGGGTTTGGATGCTAAGGCTACACAGTGAAGTGGGTTCGAGGCCCTGGAGGGAGATGGCCGGAGTTTCTGAGTCAGCTAGACCCTTTTCCTGGCTGTAAGTGCCATGTACATCCTTCTTCAGGTGTGAATGGTGACAGGTGGACCTTATTTGAGGAAAATCTACAAACACAGCACCTTACGGCTCTACCTAAGTAGTAGCTGTTCCATGCATATTTTTTATTTTTTCCAGCGGCACAGTAGATGGTAAGTGCTGCTTTAAACACATCACACACACACACACACACACACACACACACACACACACACACACACACACACACACGGATTATCAGTCCATGACAGTGGTTCTCAGAGTTCACTCTCCAGACTAGCAACCACTGGAACACCAAGGAGCTTGTTGGAAATTCAATTTCATGGTGTTCGACCAGACCTGCTACATCAGAATTCTGGGGCCTTACCACCTGTTCTAAACAAGCTCAAGTGCCCAGCATGATTCTAACATATGCTT